ATGACAATGAGACACGTCTGCTCCTGGCAGCACCAATCTACTTCAAGAGGAAGATGGGCATCGAAGAGGATCCTTATGGAGTTTGATAGCCATTTGGGCAAGAAACTGCTCTTGCCTGGACTATTACATAAACTGGACACAGAGAACCCGCAGAGAGAGGACTACTGAACTTGCCTAAAGGTGAGATGAACTTTTGGGGTTCCTGCTTCATAAAAGAGTCTGCGAGACATTCTGCAGGACACAGCAGAAAATGACTAAACTGTCTTTGAAATTTCCTGCTTCATGGAAATGTCTCTGGATACCATGGGCCTGTAGGCTGAAGATGGATGCCCCAACGGTACAGAGGAACTTTGGGTGACTGTCCAAGCAGCGAGATGTCTCTGTCATTTCTAGAGTTTTCTTATTTCTTGTTTACTTAAGTATTATTATATCCTTCTGGAGTCTTTGATGGAGTTGAAGAATGAATAGTTATAGTTTTCCTTAGTTATGATAAGAGATAAAATAGATATAAATATTGTAACTGTAATTCTTACTTGATAACTGTTTTGTTATATGTAATTTTACTATGTTAAAGTTAAAGCCTTTTTTTTGTTTAAACAGAAAAAGGGGAACTGATGTGGGAGTGATTTCTTATTAATAAAGAAACTGCCTCGGCCCTCATAGGACAGAAAATTAGGTAGGCGGAGTAGACAGAAGAAAATTCTGGGAAAAAGAAGCTGAGTAAGAGTCGCCATGGTTCTCCCACTCCAGACAGACGCAGGTTAAGATCCTCCCTGGTAAGCCAGCTCGTGGGCTACACAGAATATTAAAAATGGGTTAGAACAATATGTCAGAGACCAATAAGAAACTGGAACTAGCCGGGCCAGGCAGTGTTTGAAAGAATACAGTTTCCGAGTAATTATTTCTGGGTATAAACTAGCCATGCGGGCGGCTGGGTGCCGGGGACGCAGCCCTGCCGCTCCTAATTCAACATACTATCATATCATCCACAAATAAAGATGCTTTGATGTCTTCCTTTCCAATTGCTAGCCCCTTGATCTTCTTCAGTTGACTTGTTGCTCTAGCTAAGACTTCAAGTGCTATATTAAATAGTTATGGAGTGTACAAACATGTCAGTTCCTGATTTTAGTGGAATTGCTTTTTCTCTCTATTTAAATTGATGCTAGCTATGAGCTTGCTGTAAGCTGTCTTATTATGCTGAGGCATATCCCTGGCATCCCTAATCTCCTCCAGACTTTTCCCTTAAAGGAATATTGGAAATTTTTGTCAAAGGTCTTTTCTGCTTCTACTGAGATGATCATATGCTTTTTGGTCTTTCAGTTTTTTATATGGTGGATTACCTTGATCAATTTTCATATATTGAATCATTCCTGTATATCTTGATTGAAACCTGTTTGATCATGGTGGATGATCTTTTGGATGTGTTCTTGTATTAGGTTTGCAAGTACTTTATTGAATATGTGTGTATCTGTGTTCATAAAGGAAATAAGTACCTCTTTTTCTTTGTTGGTCCAGCTAATACAACAATGGCTCCCTATGAACAGTAGGTGCAAGAATCCAGTAACTGTTCAGTCCACTAAGATGGCTGTCTTCAGTATATGTAAACTGTTCTTCAGTGAATGCTTGAATCCTGGAAAGTAGGCTATAATGCCAGTGACAGATGGGTTTGCTAGTGAGAGCATGAGCAAACAGGCTAAGAGCTAGGCTTGCTTCTTCCACATGTCTATATAAGCTTCCAGCAGAAGGTATAGCCCAGATTAGAGGTGGGTATTCCCATCTCAAAATATCTGGATTAAAGATACGGCTTCCCACCTCAAAGACCCAGATTAGAAGTGGATCTTCCAACTTCAAACAACTTAGTTAAACAAAAATCCCTCACATGTGTGTGCAGTCATTTTTGGGGTTTCAGCTAATTACAAATTTATTCAAGTTAACAACAAAAATAGTCATCACAATGTTACTTGGTCTTTTCCTCTTGATATTATTAATATTCTTTCTTTCCTTCGTATATTTATTGTTTGAAATAGTTTTTCCCATTTTTGTCTATTTGGTTTTTTGTAAACTTCTTGTACATTGATAGGCCTTTCCTTCTTTAAGTTAGGGAAATTTTTTTTTCTATGATTTTGTTGAAAATATTTTCTGTGCCTTTGACCTGTGTTTGTTCTCCTTCCTTTATTTCTCTTGTTCTTAGAGTTGGTGTTTTCATAGTGTCACAGATTTCCTGGATGTTTTATGCCAGGAGTTGTTTAGATTTCACATTTCTTTGACCAGGATATCAATTTCTCCAGGGCATCCATTTCTCCCATCGAATCTTCAGTGCCTGAGATTCCCTCTTCCATCTCTCATAGTCTGTTGGTGAAGCTTGCTTCTTTATTTTCCATCCGAGTTCCTAAACTTTTCATTTCTAGATTTCTCTCAGCTTGGGTTTTCTTTATTGATCTATTCCCACCTTCAGGTCTTGAATGGTTTCATTCATTTCCTTTCAACTGTTGTTTGTGTTTTCATAGACTTCTGTGAGGAATTTATTCATTTCCTTTTTAAAAATATCATATTCATAAAGCCTGTCTTAAGATATTTCTTGTGTGCTTCAGCTATGTCAGATTCTTCAGGATCTGCTCTGGCAGGATTGCTGGATTCTAGTGAAGACATGTTGTCCTAACTGTTATTGATTGTGCCAGACACTGACTGGAGTCTGGGCATCAGGGGTAGGGAAGATTGTAAATCTAGGTGCTGATATCTGGTTTTGGTTTTGTAGATGGGACAGTTTGTTCCTTGGTTTCTATTGCCCTCTCTGATCCTTAGGAGAATGTAGTGGCTGTGTATTGCCTGGTAGGAAATTCTTCTGGGGCCATCATAGGTGTGGGTACTGGGGGTTCAAGGTAAAATGTGTTTCTGGGTGTTGGGAGCTGACATTTCAGAATGGGGATAGGTTGGGGTGGGCTGAGGGTGTTCACAGCAGGTACTCCAGCGGGACCTGCTTAGTTAGTCCCCTGGGGATGGGGTCAGAGAGTGAGGAGAGACCAGAGCAGAAGGTCTTCTCTAGAGCTAGGGGTACTGGGGTGAGTCTGAGGAATTGGGCTTGGAGAAATGGAAGGAGAAATGAAGATTTGCAGTTAGCTTACTTGCTTGCCTCGTGGAGTATCCTGTGGGTTCCCAGGAGTGCCTGCTGGAGTAGGGGGCTGGGACAAAGCAAATAGTTTGGGGAGGGAGGTGGGGAAGAGAAGACTATAGGATCTACACAGGAGAGGAGGGAAGAGGGGACAGGGTGGCTGCAGCAGGGCTGTTCTGTGACAGGGCTGCGGATGAGGCTGGGACACTGGGGTTGCAGGAACAGAAGGAGAGGCGACGATCTACAGTTAGCCTGCCTGCTTCCCTGACTGGAGCAGTTGAGGGAGGAGAGGGGGGGTTATGAGGGAAACATCTGTGTGGTCTATTGGAGATGAAGGCTCCTGTGGGTTGGTGCTTATCAGGTGGTCTGTAGAGCTCAAGATGAGACTGGGGGATTGGATTTGGAGTATTTGGAGTAGCTGATGAAGAGGTAGAGATCTGGTGTGTTAGTCTACCTGTTTCCCTGGCCAGAGGGAAAGCTGGAAGATAGTATAAAGATTGTACATCAACAGATCATAATGCCATTGAAATACTTAAAGATTGCCCATGAGTAATTGAAATACTGTGGATAGATTGACCTGAACATCCCGTGAAAGGGTTGGCTTGTGTCTAGACGCCACAGTAAGCAGAGAGTAAGGATCTTGAACTTAAGGCTGCATACAGCATAGTGAGGTGTTCCCATGACAGTAACTTCCAGGAGATACCCCAGGGACCATTGGGTCCTTTTTCTTCTCCCTCTCATTCCAGGGAACTCATTCGCACTGAAATAATGGCCACAATCACCCACTGCTCTTGCTAACCACGTCACTGTGGTTGGGCCCTTACTCTCTGAGAAACTGACTGCATTTATAAGTTGCTGGCATGCACGAAGGGATTACACTTCACTGCAGCCAGTGGTGAAAGTCTGCTCACCCCAAAACAGGAGATTAGCCCCATAACGGCTCCTAAGGGACCTTGGGGAGGTCATCAAACACTCCTGGCCTCCAAACGACAGCTAAAGTGTCTAGTAATGCAAACACTGTAATGTTATTAGCTCCAGAAGGGAGCTGAAGAGAATAACCAGGTACCCAACTTGTCCCCTTGCTCTATTCTCTGTGAACTGTTACGTGGTGGAGAAGTGACACGAAACTGTGTTGATGCAACGGAGTAACAGAGGGAAGCGACCTGATCCCCAAGACCTTCCTGTTTAGCCTGCGCTGCAGTACTATCGTGTTCAACGTCAGCACTCAAGTTCAGCTTCAGTAGAAATCTTCCTAACCCACATACCGAGGCGAAGCCCTTTATCTCGTTGCTATTGACTGGAGAGTGCACAGGCTTGAAGTGAGGAGATAACTTTGTGGATGGAAGGAAGGGAGGATTTCTGTTGCCACATAGCTGGGTCATAGCAAACTAGTTTCTGTGTCAGGTGCTGGAGGAATGGGCACCGGGCAGTGGGTTCTGAAAGGTGTTTCCTATGCTGTCCTCCATTGTGCTTGATTCCCGTGGGCGCTGCTTGCCGAGGATCTAGCCAGCTCCGGACTTGTTCCCTGCTCTTTCACTTCTTTCCCTCGTGGAGCAAAGCGGGAGGGGGGTGTAGGAAAGACACAACAGGGGAATGTGTGTGAGTCTTGTGTTGTTCTTTCAAAGCTTCCAATTAAAGTCTGCAGAAACCTGATACTCTCTGAAAGAAAGAATTTTCTGAGATAAAAAAAAAAATAAAAGAAAGAGCTCCTTCCAATACCACCAAACAAGAGCTAATTACTCTATGAACGTGTTTCCAATTCTCCCCCCCCATTTCCCTCTCCCTCTGCGTGTCCCTTCCCTCCCTGCCCCCACTACCAAGGTCACATTCTGAGCTCACGCCATCTGCCGCTCTGCCACTGTCCACACTGTGTCACTTGTTTCCATTACAGAGACTGCCAAAGGAGACCCCAAAGTCTGAAGAACGATGGCCCTTCCTGGGATATGAAGTGTACCTACTGCAACATGGTTTTCTCTCTCTAGCCCTGGATAGCTGAACATGGCCCTGGGTCCACAGAAAGCCAAATGATCCAACCCACAATGCATCAGCTTTTCAGATTGGTTTTGGGACAAAAGGATCTCTCCAGAGCTGGGGACCTCTTCTCTTTAGATGACGCTGAGATTGAAGACAGCCTGACGGAAGCTTTGGAGCAGATTAAGGTCATTAGCTCATCTTTGGTAAGTAAATTGGTTGGTAGAATAGACCTCTCGGGTGGCCAATCTCAGAGCCAAAAACTATATGCCTCCCAGCAAAGGGAAAGGCGAAAGGCCAGTGGTTTGTGGAGTATGTGGCTTAATTGGTATCTTAGAAAAATAAAACGGAACAAGCTATTATCTTAGGCCAGCCTTCGCCCCCTCGCAGAAACCTGAATGCTGGAAATGGAAAAACGAGAGGGGAAGTCTCACAAATGGATTCTTTGGGGGCTATTTTTACATCCTTGAAATGTCACGGAGAAGAGGGGTGGTAACAAATTTAAGGAAAGCAGACCTGCCAAGCTGCACAACTACATCAGCAAACAAAGCAGGGCGCGCGGGTGGCGGCGGCTGAATAATGAAAGAAGGCAGGTGACACCTCTGGCACACTGGTAATCCGAGACACGGACTGCCGGGGCGCTGCTGCCAGAAATGACAGTCGCCCAGGGCCTGATGATGCTGGTTCTGTTTACTTATGCATCGCCTCACTCTCTGAAAAAAAAAAATCTTTTCTTTGCTTCATTTTCTACCCTCCAGTCTCCATTTAATTCAACTCCGCGATTAGCCCCAAATATGGGCACATACCTTTAAGATCCCAATCAAGCCTCCCCCTCCTTTGTTTTGCCTCCGTGTCAAAATCATACATTCTGAAAACGCATCCCAAAGCAGAGATGTGTGCAGTACCCGGTGTGGCTTGGTATTGACCTTCTTGGTTGGGCTCGGACCTTCCTTGAGATTAGTCCTACTTCAAAGACCTCAGACTAAACGCCTGTCACGCCCACATGCTCACAACTCAATAGTGTTTGCCCACACTTAAGCACAGACACCCCTTGGGAGGGAGAAGGTGTGGGGCTCGCGACATTGACATGTAGCAGACTCTTCCATAAGACTTTTGAAAGGATCGCCGACAAGCCGCAAGGCTTGCTCCACGCGCCTGTCATCATATTCATTTGCCCTTCACCCTTTTTTAAAGATATATTTATTCATGTGTTTTGTGTGTATAAGTGCTGTGTCTTCATGCACACCCAAAGAAGGAATCTGATCTCATTACAGATGGTTGCGAGCCATCATGTGGTTGCTGGGAATTGAACTCAGGTCCTCTGGAAGAGCAGTCAAGTGCTCTTAACCACTGAGCCATCTCTCCAGCCCCTGCTCTTTACTCTTAATGTACCAATCCCCGTACCAGCCAACAGGTCATCTCCCTAACATTCTTCTTTGACAGCAATTACATGTTTATACTTTTCCCAGACCACTAATCAACTTCATCTACTCAAGACAAAGTATTGCGAGTACGTTTGCACTCTCTGGGTAGTGTTTCCATCCGGTCCTCATTCACTCTTCTAGAAATAAACTGGCTGGATATGTCATTGCTTTTTGTCTTCCTTGGAAAAACAAACTTACTCAGACTAAGGTCCCCGAAAGCCTGTGCTGTTTCCAGTAGAGGTCACTAGTAGCCTATGCTTTCCTTGGTTTCCTTCACCCTGCTTTACAGATAGATGTCAGAGGAAGGACTTTAGAACCGGGGCCTGTTATACGTCTCCACTGGTTCAGTGAGGGTGCGACTTGTGGCTGGCAGCACTGTGGAAGCCAGTCCTCTAGCGAACATCCCACCTAACTGAGTTCCCAGCTCTTCTTTCTTAACTTCAGTCTCATTGACTCCTTCTACCGATCTCCAAGGAGCAGAAGTACCATGGCGACTTACCGTTTACACGTGTCAAGCTTAGGCAACTGGTGCCAGTCACTCTTCCCTTGCCTCTCCTATTAGTTTGCTGTGCCATCTTGGATGACTTGCCTATTGCCTGTGTTAAATACATTCTCATGCTATGGCCCAGGTCTCCCTTGCAGCTTGCCCCTTTCTTGATGCCCCTGGATCAGAGTAATTAATTCTTATTCTCAATTCTTCAAGAATAGAACTAGAAGTTTCCTTTTGAGCTGCCTTTTCCAACATCTTTCCGGCACTGATCTCTTGTTTAATACTCTGGACAAATGGCCACTTCTGCTTGCTCAATAGTGGGGCTGGGAATGTTGTTCTTATGTTATTCCGCCCTCTTAGATTTCACCTTGTTAACTGTCGTCTCTGTATCACAAGACTCTTTGATGGGGCTTTCAGCAAGGCTCCTCCTGTGGATTGCTCTTAGTCTGCTACCAACGGAAGGACGGGAAAGAGCAAGAACCTTCATCTAAGCTCAGCATTTAGAATTTAGTTCCCCAGTAGTTCTGAGAAAGAAATCAGCAAGGAGTGATTTATCTTGTTGTTAGTAGCCTGAACAGGTAGTACTTGGTTCTATGTTCTCTAAAGCTGTGTCTGTCATGTTTCCTCTTTCGTCTGAGATCAGGTACTTCCACTTTGCCTTCAATTATGTGCACCACCACCATCCATTTATGCTTATCCAGACTTACACTGCTGCTTAAGACTCAAGAATCTTGACAAAGACACAGCTCTTCCAACAACTGTTGGAAGATCTAAAATCAGCTAGGAGGCAAACCTCCAAGCACACGTGTGAGCCATTTAGGTTAAGTTCATCTTCGAGCACGTCTGTAAGGAACTGGCTTGATTAGATTGATTGATGTGGGAAAGACACACCCTAATGATTGTCACCATTTCCTGGGCTTGGGTTCCTAACTACGAAAAAAGGAGAAAGGTAGCAGACCACGAATATTCATTGTTTTCTCCTTCCCAACTTTGGATACAGCTAGATGACGCTGCTTCAAGTTCTTCGCACCAGAACCTCTCCCCCATGACAAACAGTGCCCTGGAACTGTAAGCCAAGTTAAACCCTTCTCCCTTAAGTTGCTTTTGCCAGAGGTTTTATCACGGCTACTGGAAAAGAAACTAAGACATAGCATGTTCCTTTTTTCACCCAGAAGAAATCCTACCATTCAAACATTTTACTCATTCTTTGTTCTTGTCTCTGTTCTCAGCCATTGAGATTGGCCTCAGTTCCTATGAAAAAAACTTCAAACATCTGAAAAACAATTGTCAGGTCTCACCTATGGCTTCTCTTTCCAGCTAAGTATTTTTAGTATCTGTGGGTTTTCCTACGATAAGGAAGGTGTCTATGTCAGGGAATGGTTCTACCCCCTCACATCCTGCTTAAAATCCGTAACTCTGTGGTCGGCAAAACACAATTCATCAGTCTGTAGGGGAAGCTATACAAATTGTGCTATCTAAATACAACTTTGAAATAAATTACAATAATCATTTATCTATTTATAATAAAAATGATAACTCATATGTCATCACTTTGGGTTGTTCTTCCCAAGTCTCTGCTCTGACTTTTAGAGAAGGGATATTATTATTGATTATATTGCTGCCATATCCTAACCTCACTTCCGGGGAAAACATCAGCTCATCTGTGCAATCTCTTCCAGACTGTGTCCCTAAGAGGCTCCTGCTGAGCTCACTAATCCCATCCATACAAATAGACCTCATTGATAACTCAATATGAAGTTATTTTTAAAAAAAATTAAAAATGATAACACAAAGTTGGGAGCTGGTGAAGAGGTAAGGATAGGTTTGGGAGAAGTTGGGAGAGACGGAGGAAGTGGATATGATCCAAATACAGTTTATTCTGGACATTGATTAAATATTATATTTAGAAAAGACATAACAATAAAACCAGGAAGAGAGAGAGAGAGAGAGAGAGAGAGAGAGAGAGAGAGAGAGAGAGAGAGAGAAAGGGATGAAGGAGGAATTTGGCACAATTGAAATGCTTGCATATATTTCTTTCCAATACAATTGTCTTCCCTTAGCCCTGCAAGCTAACCTGTAGTTGGACTGTGGTACTCAGTCATGTATTTTTTAAGTTCTATATTAGAAATGCTTCACTTAATAAAATATTATTAGTAGAAAGTTTTAAACTTTTATATAAGGTTTAAAACCTAGAAAAAAATTTAAAGTTCTTTGGTGTGTATCTCCATATCTGAAATACGCAGATCTCTAAAACTAGTTGTTTCTCTTTATACTGAGAACCTTTGAAGTTTATAAAAACTAGAAAAAAATTAAACTTTATATAAATGCTTTTCTAGCTTTAATGCTGTTTTTAATTTCTCTAGCTTGGTACATGCAGTTTCATTTATGTAGCGAATTTTATATGAACATACCACTGTTTATTCATTCATTCCTCTTTTGGATTGACCCTCACTACTCAAATAGTGCTATAGTAAACATTATTGCTGTTGATTATTTTGGCGAACATGCACTTCTCAGGTTCTCAGTATGAAGTAAAACAACTGGATTTAGATTATCTTTGTACGTCTAGTATTATAATCTGCACCAAAGTGCTTTCTTGTGTGAAGGGTGTATGAAGCTTTATTCATTAGTTCCCGCATCTATCAAATGTTAAAACTTCTTTTAAATAAGTTTAATGAAGCAGTATGCAAATGCTAATTAAATCGGCAACTCCTCATTTACAAGTGAGGGCGACTATTTTTCATCTGTCATGTGCCATTCACCTCTTGGGTTTATATAAAGTACGGTTTCTATTTATTTATTTTCTTCCTCTTTTAATGTAAGGAAGGGTATTGAGGCATGGCCATACTTTACAGAGTAAGGCTGGCCTAGCACTATGTAGCTCAAATATACTTGAACTAGATTGTGATGTCGCAGCCTCTCAGGTTCAAGGTTGCAGGTGTGCAGCACCACACCTGGCTCCCCCCCCCCAGGTATTTAATGTCCTTTTCAGTTCTTAGACTGATTCTTTGTCACTTATGCATGTACTCTAGTATTCCAGAAGGAAGTGGGTCCCTTACTGTGTAAGCCTGGTAAGACAAGGGTACCCAAAATTGTGGAGTTTGTTCTTATTCTCTAAGAATTTTACATTTAGATACTCACATTTCATGAATGATTCTGAGAAAATGCGGACTGGACATTCTTTGTATCCATAACCTAATTTGAAAAAGACAAATGAGCACCCTAATGGCAGCACAATGTTTTCTTTTCTGAAGATACAGCCGTACCAGCTTCAGACTTCTTCGAAACAAAATTGTGTGGTTTTTTTTCTCCTAAGTTTCACCTCCTGCACGTACTTTCATGCCTGGTGCTCATGAAGGGGAGAGGAGAGCACTGCCTTCTCTGGAACTCTGGTTGTGGGCTTGCACATGCGTGCTGGGACCTGAACCCGCTAGAGCCCTGTTTAGTAGTATGCCTCATCTTCTAAATTAAAGCACCATATATCCTTAGCTAGGGCTAAAGATGGCATTCATTTTTTAAAGTCTTTTCTACTTTTTCCAGGTGAATAAAGCACAATCACTTTATTTGTTATTGTTGTGAGTGTGACAGACGTGAGAAGAGTGTGCATGCCGGAGCATGTGTGTGAAAGGCAGAGGACAAATTTTTATAATCCGTTCTCTCCTTCCACTTTACGTGAATCCCGGGGTTGAACTCGGGTCATTAGTTCAGCAAGTGCTTTACCACTTAGCCTTTTCATGAGTCCCTTAATACAACTTAATTTTAGTGATTTCATATCCAGCAATCTTAATCAACTATCCTATAATTCTGACAATCTATCTGTGTACATTTCTTCATTTGTGAGGGGTGGAGCTAAGTTAAGAGCACCGGCTGCTTTTCCTGAAGACCCAGGTTCAGGTCCCAGCACCCGTGTGGTTGCCCACAACCATCCAAGACTCCAATTCCAAAGAATGCAGTGCCCTCCTCTGGCCCCCATGAGCACCAGGCATAGAAGTGTTGCACAGACACACATGCAGGCAAACTATTCACACACATAAAAAAAATAACATTAAAGATAAATTATGTTTAAAATGCAGTTAAAGGATTCACACACAAAGAAGGTGTATGGTTTCTGAGTTGCCGAGGATGACGTTGTAAAAACACAGGCACTGGGAACATGTTTCCACTGGAGAAGGGGACTGGGGGCTGAGGGATGGGGCTACCAGGTCTTAGGGGGCTCTGCTCTGCACTGGCAACCTTGCTTTCTCCATCTCTAGTCCCATAGCTATGCCTTAGCTTTTAAATTAATAAAAATTTGGAACTGGATGGCCCAGTCATTAACAGCACTTGTTCTTCCAGAGGACTGAAGTTTAAATTCCAGCTCCCATGTGGCAGATCATAACCATCTATAACTCCAGATTTAGGAGATCTGATGCCCTCTCTGTACTCTTCGGACACTCATGTGTTGCACAGATGTACATGCGTGCAGAACACACACACATAAAATAGAAATAAAATGCTTTAAAGATTTAAATCCAATAATTTAAGTAATTTAAGTTTCTAATTTTAGAAAGAAAATGTAGGTGGATTTTTCTGTCCCTCCAGCCATCTCTCAAATCATGACACAGAGACTTACTATAAATTATGAAAGCTTGGTCAGTTACTTAGGCTTATTTCTAACTAGCTCTTATAACTTAAATTAACCCATTTTTATTAATTTGTGTCCTGCCACGCGCTTGTGGCTGTTACCTCTCCTCCTATACCTACTATTTTCTCTGCATCTGACTAGCAACCCTGCCTTCTTCTTCCCAGCATTCTCTCTGCCCTGAAAATCCTGCCTTGCTATTGGCCATTCATCTTTTTATTAAACCAACCAGAGTGACACATCTTCACAGTGCACAAAAAATTAATCCACAACATTTCCCCCTTTTCTTCTAAATAAAAAGGAAAGGTTTTAACTCTAACATTATAAAACCATATACAATAAGAACAACTGTCAAGTAAGAGTTCCATTTACAATGCCCAACCTATTTCTATTTGCAAACTTGGAGAAAGTACTGTGTTATTTATCCTATCTTAGTCCAAAGTTTTATACTGAAACCATTTCTGTTATAACTTGTATGACCCTCCCAAAACTTGACTGTTCAGCTTTTTATTAAACCAACCAGAGTGACATATCTTCATGGTGTACAAAAAGATTATTATACAACAGGGGAAAAAATACACAACTCAAAAGCTTGATTGATTTAACTGTCTAAACTTAGCTTTGAAAAGGAACGATGAAGCGTGTGCAGACTTACAACTCGAGTGTTGCCTTAATATCCTTAGTAGAAAAAAATATTGTTCCAGAGGATCAAAAGGAAAATGAAGTCAACTAAGGAAGAATAGATTTGACACTCATTGCCCAATTCCCAATGGAGGAAATACAAATGGCCAGTAAACACACGGAGCTATGCATCCGTACTTTGATTCAAGAAAGTGCCTAACACCAAACAGTAATGAGATACTGTTTTCCTCTGATCAAATTAGTAAAAATTAAAAATACTTTGTTCCTGCAAAAGCACAATGAAGATATTAAGTTTCCATCCAGCCGACTGGAGTTTAAATTAGTAAGGGCTTTCTGGAAGGTCATTTAGTAGTTTGTAGTGGGAGCCTCAAGATTATTTCTGTCCTTTGCTCCGGAAAATTGCTTCTTCTGAAGGAAAAAAAAAATCTGGGTTACAGGTGATTACAGTGTAGATATAGGTCTGAGATGTTTATTGACCTCATTATAACAGGAAAAACTGTGTTAGGAGTGAGAATTCCCAGTCGGCCAACGGAGCGGGGTGGTGCGGGCCTCTGAATGCTCACCTACTTCTAGTTGCCTGCCCTGTGAGACTCCCATGGTGGTGTTTAGTCAGACCTGGTTTCCAACACAAAGCAATAAGCATTTTTGCTGTGCACGTTTGTTTTTTCACGAAATTTAAAAATTTTCAGGGATCCTATTTTTCCTTAGTAAAGATGGGGACATATCTGGGAGGTAATTAAGACAGGAAGATGGAAGGAAATTTGAGTGGCAAAAACTTACTGGGGTTTGTTACTTCTTTGAGTTGAAGAGGAAGAAATGAAACATTGTGTTCTACTGGAGTCTGGGAAAGAGCTAATAAGGGAATATTACAAAGTAATGTGAATTTTTTTTTCTCGTGCACTTGACTAAAAAACCATCACTGAAAAAAGTAACTTCTATCTTGGAGGGACTTGAAACTGAAATGGCCTGAAGAGTGACCTGCTTGCACATTAATGATCCAGCTCCTCTGGCCAGCTGTCATCCTCCATTTTATTACCGACAGCAGGGGCTTGGATGTGTGTTCTGCCTCTTCGACAAGAGGAAGGCTGACCATAAAGGGCTTTACAGCCTCACTCCTTAGCACACAGCAACACACAGCATTTCAAAACAACTCGCTACGTAGCTTCCTTTTCAAGGACAACTTTCTCGAGTGCTTATTAACTTGAAGGTTTTCTTTCTAAATAGGATTACCAGACTAATAATAATGACCAGGCAGTGGTTGAAATCTGTATCACAAGGATCACGACGGCCATCAGGGAGACGGAATCCATTGAAAAGCATGCCAGGGCCCTGGTGGGACTGTGGGATTCCTGCTTGGAGCACAACCTGAGACCCGCAGGGAAAGACGAAGATACTCCACATGCAAAAATCGCATCTGATATCATGAGCTGCATCTTGCAGGTATGTCGCTGCGCCAGCAGCAGGCAATGTGATACGGAGTTGGCAGCTTATGGTGAACACATGATGTCTCTGAACTGAGAGGCAATTTTTGTTCCTCTTAGATACTGTAAAAAGACACCAAAACCCCGGATAGAGTATACCAGCAGGCGGCTCACTAATAAACTGAGAAAAATCCTACTGAGTCCCTGCTGTGTCCCTGTGAGCTATACTATAAAGAATGCAAAATAATACCTCAACAAGCATGAAAGCATGCTTGGGGAGGTCAAAGGAGGATAGGGGGCGCTCTTCTCCCTCACTTTCCACTCTTTCTCCAGACAGGGTCTCTCAGTGAACAGGAAGAATCAGCACTGCAGGCACATTCAGCTATGCTCAGCTCTGTGTGTGGGTGCTAGGGGTTTAAACCCAGGCCCTCATGCTTGCGCAGCCAATGCTTCTGTCTGCTGAGTCGTCTCTCCAGCCTGTCTAACTCACTTGAAGTCTATTTTCCTGTGTGCTGTGAATGCCTACCTGTTCTACATGTGAGAGATTGGCAGGTCCGTGTCTTCAAGTCTCTGCCCTGCCATGTCTTACATCTCTGCCTTGCCCCTTGTAAATTAAGAGCAACAACACCTACTGTCTGAAACTATCTAGGGGACGGGGCATGTGCAGCGCTTACTTTGAACAATTGCAGTCCTTAGCTAGCAAATAAATCCACAGTCTTGTAGGCCAACAGAAACAAGGTCCCAGATAACTCCCACCAGGACACAAACATGTTAAAATCTTATGCTACAGACCCGTGATGGTGGATGAACACGAAGAAGGACCTTCATTGCAAAACTCTCTATAGGTGCTCTCGACAGATGTGGAGCACCAAATTCAAGCCACAACTTACTCAGGACGAGGAGATTCCTCTGACCAAGTTACTAGATGGATTCAGTCATTTCCCATCTCCTGGAGAACCCCTGAAAGAGAGAGAAACAAGACATTCTGCTTTCTAAAATAAATACGAACTTGGAGAGGGCGGACAAGGATGAAAATGTGGACCAGGGGTATTATAACTATCGGCGTCATCAATGTACTAGAATGAAACTCTAAGGAATTGAGAGTACCTGATTTTGACCTCATCGTACGAGTCAGGGCAGTCACTTTTCCTCAACTGTTTGCTTATAGACCCGATGTCATATGTCAATCAGCTTTGTATTATCTGCTGTCTCCTCTCAGCTATGGAGGGCCTATGAAGAGGGAAATAATAAAAGACGGCTGACAAGGAGAACAAAGGGGGCTAGAAAGAATCCGCAAATCGGGAAGCATGTATTTTTCTGCATTGTGAAAGGACCTAATGTCTAGCCTCATTGCTTGCATGCACACTCCTCGTGTAGGCTTCCTCGGTCAGTACCCTGTGAAGACTCTGAGAAACAGGACCCAGGATGGCCCAGCATTTCCTTCAGAATTCTTATGGGGGAAACTGGTTGTATAAAGTTAGAAGGTTCCTCAACAAGCAATCAATCCCCTATTATTTATCCTTAGGGTGATCTTGGACAAATTAACATTTTTGTGTCTTGATTGCTTCATCTATTAAGAACAAATTATAGGAGTAATTTCCTTGTGGCTTTGTTGTGATGAATAAATGACCAGATAGCAAAAAGAAAAGTACTCAGGAAATAAGTAAGAAACGCCACATGATCATTAACTCCAGTTGATATTATCATCTGCAGGAGACCATTCGATACCATACGATACGCTCTTTTTACTGTTATTTGCCTGTGTGTGTTTTCTGTGCCCGTGGAAGCATCTCCCTCCAGGGCTATTCACTTATTTATTGAAGCAGGATCTCTTTATGAAACCAGAGCTAACCAGCTTGCCCCTGTCTCCACCTCCAAGTGTTAGGATCATAGCCAGGCTGCCGCACCTACTAGCTTTCACGTGGGTCTGATGAGCCCTCACTGGGGTCCTCACACTTGTGTGGCAAATGATTTATCCACTCAGCCATCATCCAACACACCATTCAACCCTTTGCAACAAGTTGTTAATTCAGTAATGACACCTGTTGGTGATCGCTTGCTTGTCTCTATTCTCCACAAATTATATTTTGTTTTGTTTTTCCATAGAGGTAGACCCAGCACCTACAATAGCACTTGGCAAACAGTAGGAACTCAGGTAGTATCTACTGAGTGATGTAATGTATGGGTTCAGAAGCAGTAATGATCCTGTGGTTTCCTTAGCAACTAGACTTCTCTCCAGTGGGCTTCTGGATGTGTTCTGGGACAGGAGAATGAAGTGTGAGGGATGGGGACAACCAACAGACCTGCTCCCTTCTCTTGCTTGTCAAGAAACCCACTGGGAAAACCAGATGACGGTGTGAATCAGACTTCTAGAAAGCTCCCCACCGGTCAGAATCAAGCATTCCGCCTGTGTGCTTGACGAGGCTGCATGAACATCCAAGGAGCCCTATTTTAATAGATGAAGTTGAACATCTCTTGAGATTGTTACTTTTCTATGGCTCCAATTGGATTCAATCCCTGGGGGCAGAGGAGCCTCTCTGTTCCTGTCACCCGAGATCTGTATCTCGTCTCTTTGCTATCTCCGTTCCAGTTTTAAACCGCTCAGAAAGGTTCCCAGAGTGCGTTTTCAAAGGGGGAGTTTCTACCAAGAGCTCAAATGGTGCTAATCAAATTGGGAAATGGAACCCTTGGCATCGTGGAACAAGGCCCTCTTGTTCCGCGTCTCCAGTGAGGGGTAGCAGTCCTCAGGAGTAGCTTTATTTCCACACCGCCCTGCCCTCCGTTTGTTCCCTGAGCTGGGAACTTGTAAGATAATATTCACACCCGCCCGCCCACATCTATGCAGAGGGCCAAGCACTGTCACAGGCTGCGGCGTTATCAGCGGCTCTTGAAGTGGTTTATTTCTTGTAGAATGGTGACCACAGGACTTTTTTTCTGCCTGTATCCCATTAGCCGCCCTGTGATCCAAATAACGAAAGATAAAATGCCTTGCTGTGCCCAGCTCTACTGCGTTAGATGCCTTTGAAGGGAAAGCTCAGCACTGGGGCAGAGTTGTTTGTTATCTGTTAGGTCCCTGGGATTCTTCTTTGTCAGTGTCTAGCCCCGTGTTCACATCCTGTTGTCGTCAGCAGTGCCTGTGGCTTTTGATATGCTAGGGGCTGTCTAGACACTGTTTTGAGCCCGAGTGCTTTTGGTGGTGATCGCTTAGAATTTAGATGAACTGTTTGCTGTTTGCTTAATGTTTTACTTCTTGTTTCATTTGAGAGATTTCCAAATTATATGAGTGGGGAGAAGAGAGAAAAATGGAGTGTGTCGAAGTTTGCTTTGTTTTTTAGTGATGAAATGATACGCCTGTTGTGCTTTTGTGCTGGATCCACGCTTCAGAGGCATCCAGAATTGTTCTAAAAAGAAAACAATCTGATTGGCTCAGAAGGCCCGCTCTTTCGGTGCTCCTGCCAAGAGCTACCTCACTCCAGAGCTTAAAACAGAAACTAACGATTTCCATCCATCTGATCCCTCCCTGTGTTTGTCTGTGCTCACAGTTAGCAAGTGCCACTTCCTGTTGCCACCACCTTTGGTTTTTTTTAACGTTACACATAAATGAGCTTGAGATCATAACGCACACCTTTAGTCCCAGCGTTAGGGAGGATGAGGCAGGCACATCTATGTGAGCTTGAGGTCAGCATGGTCTAGGTAGTGAGTTCAAGGACAGCCAGAGCTACATAGTGAGACTCCATCTAAAAAAAATTAATTAATTAATTAATTAATTAATTAAAAGTGCCTGAAGATCTATTCCTCTAGTAGAAGACATGTGCCTTTCTACTTTCAAGTTATTCTTGACAAAGAGACTTAGTGTGGAAAAAGTATCTTTGACATGGAGTTCCTTTTGGAATGTTCCCACTGGTAGGGCTTTGACCAGACATTATAGGGACAAGTTTAACTGTTGAAAGTTTAACTGTCAGAAGCCTCCATGTGATGGAGAGATTGGGTGGCTATAAACAGAGCCCATGACAAGACTGGGGGTTGGGGTAACATCCAGTGCTATGATGGAAGTAACTTGAATGTGAATTCAAAGAAGCAGCCAATGTAGCATAATTGAGAAAAGTGAAAAGAAGTCAGTTAACCATGCTGAACCCCACAGTCTGAAGTGTATTGGCAAAAGGAAGATGGATCACTGTTTTGGTATAGGTACTCAAGTGTTACTCCGAGCAGGTGTTAGAGACCGAATTTGGTGGATGGAATGTTCTGGTCATCACAGATGGTTGTAGAATAAGCATGTTATTTCAAGCAGGTTCAACCATGGTCTTGATGGAATAGATCTCAAACTCTCTTGGAGCTCTCCTGATCTTGTGCTGTTGAGTGAAGACTCTGGTTTCTGGCCTGTCTTCTTTGTACCTTGATATCATGATACCTGATCTGACCAAAGAAAGTCTCCCGCTGTAAATGAGTCCCTTGGTTTCACTATTACGTGTCTAGAAATCTCTTGGTGTGGGTTGTCCTTAATAGATTATAGCAACTCTATGTGGTTGAGTGCCAGGCCTGGGAGAGAAGAGGAGCCCATCTTCCAAGGAAGCTGCATAAGCTGCCACATCAGCAATGGCCAGTCCAATCAGGCCCATATATACGTGCTAGAGGAGGAGACATGGATCAAGATATTCAAATAAGCCATGAGAGGTCTCAAGGCAGGCCATGGTCCTGATGTATCTGGAAAATTGATGAAAAACAGGAATGAGTTAAAACACATCGGGCATTTTGTTTGTTTGTTTGTGCCTGGTGACTAGAAAACTAGGATCGCTTAAGCAAAAGGCATTTATTTAATTAGCTTGTTTACAGGAATGGAGATGGGCTAAGCACACCTGATATCATGGAGCTCAAATATTAACAGGACCTGATTTTGCCCAGTTTGCCTCACTGACCCCCATGTTTCTCAAGTTTCATGTAGTTCTCTTCTGCCTACTGAGATCACGTGATAGTGACACCCATAAACTCTTAACACCTTGAATCCAGCAGGAAAATTACAATCACAGAGCCCTTCGAAGAATCCTTTATTGAATTTGGCGAAGCACTTATTCCTGAACTATCATTTGAACCAGGGAAATGTGGCTTGCTGTCAGGCTGAGACACTCAGTCACTTTTGAGACCAAGGGTTGAAATGTCTTCAGCAGAAAAACTGGAGAGCTCCTCAAGGATGAATAACGTAGAATCTCAGAAAAAGGAACACAGGAGCGTGTGCAGGCTCAGCGAGGCTGAGGCCTGGAGGGAGAAGGGAAACCATAGCAATAACATTTTCCTTCAAATAGGGAGCAATGGAAACTCAATACCCAGATATGAGTGTTCCAAAGTCATTGCTCCCAACTCACCGAGGGTCTCAGCTATCCCAGAACATCGCCTTTACATGGCTCACATGCTCAGTGTAAACAGGCGACTCCTCCTCCTGGTCTTTATTATTATTATAAGGTTTGTTATATTCCATACGGTCTAAGGATATAACTTTCCCTTTAAACTACTGAGGATGCTTCAAGAATGAAAGCAATCCAGGCTTAGCACTGTTCTAGTCAGGATGCAGGCTCAGCTACAATAACAAACACCTAAATAGAACAGTCAGTTAAACTACACAGGACATGTTTGTCTCAGTGCGTGCCCTATTTGGAGGGTAGTCATTACTTCTCTCCAAGGTCACACTGGTCCTTGAGCAGCCTGGAAAGTCTTCTTCTACCAGTCAGTTGATGTTGTGTCTTCCCTGAGGCATATTTATCAGAGACTGCTCAGTGGGAAAATGTGACGACAGTCAGTGTTACAAATGATCTGGAGAGTGGGGTGACATCTCTGTGAACAGCCAGCAAGAGGGTGACAAAGCCCAGAGTGGAATCCAGAGTCTGTTTTCTGTCACATGCCCTTTCTAACACATTGTGTTTGCAGGGACCACCACCACCGTGCAGCTATACTATCTTCTTTCTTCCTCATACTCCCTGCTTGTGTTTGTGTGCTATATGCATGTGTACATGTGTGTGTGTGTGTTTGTATGTCTATGTGGGCATCTGCATATAGAGGCCAGAGGTTGATGTTGACTGTCTTCCTCTGTTGCTGTGCCCTTAATGTTTGAGACAGGGCCTCTCACTGTCCATGAATCTCACCAATTTGACAGGACTAACAGACAATAAGCCCCAGGGATCCTCCTGTGTCTGCCTTCCCAGTGCTGGGATTACGGGCACATGCCACCATGTCTGCCCTGTTTACATGGGTGGTTGGCAATGGCCATCTCTCAGCCTAACTGTATGTGATTCATTTGTTATTCAGTCTGCCATGCTGGGTCTACCCTAAGCCCAGAACGCTGTTGGAAGTGGTAGGAAGCATAACCTATGGTTGGAGCGACAAGTACCTTTCACACATATAGCAATATGAAGTCAGCTCCCAAACACATTGTATAGAAAACAGTTTTGCCTAGAGCAAGCCTAAGTGGTTGGGAATATGGTGGTCATGAATATATACAATTTATCTATAATTGTTTCCTAGTTAGTCAACTAATTGACTGATACCCTTAAGGTGAGCCACAGAATAAAGAGAGAATTTTTTTTTTTTTTTTTTTTTTGGTTTTTTGAGACAGGGTTTCTCTGTAGCTTTGGTGCCGATCCCGGAACTAGCTCTTGTAGACCAGGCTGGCCTCGAACTCACAGAGATTCGCCTGCCTCTGCCTCCCGAGTGCTGGGATTAAAGGCGTGCGCCACCACCCGGCTAAAGAGAGAATTTTTATAATCTTGAATGTCTTTGAGATTTAGTTTTATATTTATTTTTTCTTTTGAATATCATTAGCTAAAATTTCAGCACATTTCATGGACACATAGTAGACCTGAGTGCACTGTGCTTCAGTCGATTCCTGTAATGTGTCATGACGTCAAGGCAACCAGTGTTCCCTGCCCCTTGAGCTTCTGCCACTGGTCCTGCCAAGCTTTAAACATTAGCACTTGTCCTATGCAAATGTTTTTGGCACCTAACATCTGATCTCCTTCAATCCCCTTCCAGTCAGAGGATGTCAAGAAAGACCTCTAGAGGAAGGGATGCCTTTGCTGGGGCTGAAGTGATGAGGTCAACTATTGATATGGGATCACCTTTTTAAACTACGCTCGTGAGAACATGGAATATCTGCATTTTGTCTTCTAGCTAACTACACTTTACGCTGCTCTCCACTTCCTTTCATATTGTTGAAAATGAAATGAGTTCTTTTTATGAGTGAATAGGATTCATGTGTAAATACTGTTTTCAGCATCTGACTATCCTTGATTGATTCTCAAAGACAAACATCAAGCTTGTCAGCATCCCTTCGATTGTTTTTCTCAAATATACACCTGATGATCTGTACCTCCCTCTGCCCCTGATAGTTTCAACCTCTTCAGCATCCCCGGATACCCAAGCCTGTTGTCCTTCCCAGTTCCTGCCAGTTTTCCTACACATAACACTACACTGAATTACTCACAGCTTCCTAGGTTCACCACATTCTCCATTGTGCCTCCACAGTGGCTCTTTCTTCTCCAGCCTTTACCTCACCATCACCCAGCTACCCAATCCATCCCTTCAGTTCCAGCTAAGGCACCCAGTCCTCTAGAAGTCTTTCTTTACACCTCTAGGCCGGGTGCGTGCTTCTTAGCACCCTGCACCTCACAGGTCATACCCCAACTAATGCTACCAACTACCCCTAAGTCTTCCTATAAAACCAGGGGGTTCTGCATGCTGTGGAAACATGGCAGGGCTTGTGTTTTCACAGCCGATATCTAGGAGTCTAGCAAATATTTTTGACATGATTGGATAACAAATGAACAATGAGTTACTTGTTTGTTCCCTTCTTATATCTCCTCAGAATTACAACCGGACCCCTGTGATGGTCTTAGCTGTCCCCATTGCAGTGAAATTCCTCCACAGAGGCAGCAAGGAGCTGTGTAGGAACATGTCCAACTACCTGTCCCTGGCTGCCATCAGCAAGGCAGAGCTCCTGGCTGATCACACCGAGGGGATAATAAAGAGCATTCTCCAAGGTACAGTGCAAGAACTGAGCTGGGGATGGGTCTAGCAGGAACTCAGTGAGTTGCTCATCGCTCCTGGGAGTGAGGCCTTGCACGCAAAGGGGAGAGTTAGGGTTGGTTTGGTTTTGTTTTCTTTGCTGTGCTGATGGTTGACTCCGAACCATGCCAGAATGCCTCCTGGGCCAAATGAGCAAGTTTCTTTACCTGGTGAATGAAGTACTTAGATTCTCTTCCTGCCGATCCTATGGTTCTCAGTCCAGAGAGCTGTGTAGTTCATGGTTCCCGTCGAATTCCCGGCTGTGGAAAGCTCATTCTGCAATAGGTCTCTCAGTGGTTGATGAAAATGCACATTTCCTTTCATTTCCGAAAGTAAGAAGTATCTTTGGCTATATAAAATACACAGAACCAGGCACGGTGGCACACACCTTCAATGCCAGTACTTGGGAGGCAGAGGCAGGGGGATCTCTGTGAGTTCAAGGACCACCTGTTCTACATAGTGAGTTCCAGGACAGCTGCAGCTACATGGTGAGATCTTGTCTTTAAAGAAAAAAAATCAAAACAAAAGATAAAATACACAGGAAGATGTGTGATGACTTCTCTAACTCAAATATGACTGGAAACTAATTTACAAGTGTATTAAATAACACCTAGATAGATAGATGATAGATAGATAGATAGATAGATAGATAGATAGATAGATAGATAGATAGATAAAGACATCTTTATTCTTACATTATTTGAATCAAAGAACTCAAACTAATCCCCACATATGTCCTTTCTTCAACATAAGTAGAGGGTGGACTCCTGTCTATGTGAAACCTTGTTTTACTTTTTTTTTTTTTTGAAGAAAGGATTTCAGGTCAGAGGACACTATATCAAATGCCTTGATATGCATCCAAATAGTCCCAGTTCTCATTGATAAAAATGCGTGAGGTCCACAGGCATTACTGCCCATAGATTGTTTCTTCAGACCCCACAGACTCAACTTCGTGCAGAGTGCTCCTCTGCTCCTAGTGGAGGGTTTCTTGACGTCTCTGAGGATGTCCCGAATGTGCTCTGTGCCCGGCGTCCCAGGGTGAGCTCACAGTCTATGTCCTTCCGACCCAGCTTAGCACACTGCGCTAGCATTCTCCACATGACTCTGCTCCCGGCAGGGTCCACACAGAGGCTCTGTGACACCCTGTCAGAATGGTGGCCTCTGCCCTCAGGTTCCTCCTCCCCTGAAGCTTCAGGAACCTAGAGTTCCACGTGGCAGCCTCTGGCAGTAGAACAGCAATCTTTTCCCCTGATGTTACACCTTGGTTACATCTTGGTAGACATGCCCAAAGCAGGCTGCTTACCTCGGGTACCATAGGTTGTTCTGTGTTTACAATAAGAGAGGGAGTATACTCTTCCCAGATGTTTGGCTCAGCTGTTGACCTCTCGCCCAGATGAGCAAGGCAAGAGGTTCAATGCCCATTGCTGAAAAAAAAAATTATAATTAAAAACACCAAAGCATTCTCTTTCCTTTCCTGAAATCAGAAAGTAACTGTCCCCCTCTGCGTACCCCCGGTCCATGCCATCTTCTCACACCCCCACCCCCCACCCCACCCCTCTTGCACCCCATTCTTAGAATGCCTACTGCCTGCCAAGGACAAAGATTTTGTCCCCACCTCAAGCTCAAATGTCAGAGACTCCTAAGGCGACTCCTGGTCAGTCTAGCCCACAGTCTGCCAGATGCCCAGATATATCTGACCACCCGGGAGAGGTAGGTGTGTCGCTCAGCCTGGGCTTCTCGGTAAAGATTTGCCACTAGTAATGTTAGTCAGTGGTCTTGTACCTCATTTCCTTTGGCCACAGGATCAAATTGCTAATTTTACTTCACATATGATTGATTTTGATGCGAGTCCAGAAATGCAATCCATCTTTTATTTTTACCACTTTGAAAACATTTTTTGGGAAAAAAATCCATAGAAAATACAAACGCACCACAAGCATTGTAACTATGGGAAGTGGATTTGTGAGAAATAGATTTATATAAAAGAATGAATCCTCTCTTTAAGGCTGCCAGGAGTTTAGCTCATAATTTTGAGGCTTTTAGAATGTTATTTCGAGGACAAAGAGATCTTTGAAACACAAAAATCAACTCTAAAATCACTGCAAGCATTTGAAATAAACAAATGATTTGGTTTATTTGATCTGGCACTCTGAAAATTGCCGTAGACCCGAGAGTAACTTGACCTGTGAGTGGCTGCGTCTGCGTATCGAGGGTTTTGATTCGGAGGACTGTCATGACTATAAAGCCCCATCCACAGTGCATGCGAGTTGCAGAGGAGAAAGGATTCTGAGTAGTGAGTTCTTTGCTCTGCAAGTCTTCATTTGATGCTCCCAGTGAGCAGCTTTAGTGAACTCCTTGGGGGTCTTTCTTCATTACATGTAGTTTCTTCTCAACGTCAGACTGTTGTCTTTGATCTGCGACTGTCTTCTTTGATCTGTAGTATCCTGGTCTTTAGACTGTTGTCTTTGATCTGTCACTGTCTTCTTTGATCTGAAGTATCCTGATCTTTAGACTGTTGTCTTTGATCCGTCACTGTCTTCTTTGATCTGAAGTATCCTAATCGTCATTCTCTTGGACTTCTACTCTTACGGAAAGGTTAGTGGTCACCTGTTCAATGACAATACTTACAATAACATTATAATAATAAAGTCAGACAATTTTCGTGTCAAATGTTGAATTAGTCCACTTGTACGATTTAGATCAGCATTACTCGTGAGAACTGCAAAGCAGAAATCCTATTATTCTATTTTACTGGGCAGTAACACTTTAAGTAACAAACACCTTGGTATAAATGACTTGATGGAGAGGCTAAAGAAAAGGAGGAGGAGAAAGAAGAAGAAGAGGAGGAGGAGAATGAAAATGACAAAGAATGGGGGGAGAAGAGGAGGAGAAAAGAATAGGAGAAGAGGGGAGGAGAAATAGGGAGAGGGCAAGGAAGAAAAGAAGTAGGAGGAGGAAGAGGAGGATAAAAAAGAGAAATGAAGAAGATAAAAAAGAAAAAGGAGGAAGGGGAGGAAGAGGGAGAAAGAGGAAGAGGGAACAAAAGAAGAGAACTGAGAAGAAGAGGAGAAGAGGAACAACTCCTTGTTGACACATGAACGGTCCATGGGCGGATTCTTCCCATTGACTTGATGTGGGCCTCAGAGGTGGCCCTGAAAGCTGTGGCTAAGCATCCGTCTGCTGTACTGTTTTGCTTTTATGTCCCAGAGCATGGGCCTTCATACTGTCTGGCTCACATCATTGTGAATACCAATTACACAAAGTCCACATCCAATCTGATTTCCTGTTTTTGATCCAACTCTGGCAACCTGACTGTTTCTGAACAGACACGTCATCCTTGCTGGGAGACACCGAATATCAGTTGTCTGCTGAGACCCTGAGCTACCCCAGAAAAGGAGGTGGCCATGGACTGCCACATAACCACGTGAGTGGGGAGTTAGGAAGGACTGGGTCTCAGAAAATCTGCTGTGCGAATGAAAGGGCTTTGTGGAAGCCACAATTGCCCACCCTTTTTGCACACACGTAACTGACTAGAATTAAATGTTAGCCATTTCACCCCAAAGCAGCCTCTGCCGTTGAATCCCAGATCCACTGAATACTGGTTGTATTTGTATTTTTCTGAGCACCCGCTTTCTTACTGTGTAAATTGAGATGTCCAAACAATGACATAACAGCACAGCCTAGTCTGACCTCAGTAAATATTAGCTAAGATGGTGATGGTAACAATGATGACAGCCTGCCTCTATTTGAGTACTTTAGTGCCAGGAGATAGATGCACTGTTTCTGGTGAAAACTCACATCTTGTGGGCCTATTTGGTTCTTTTGGTGAATGTTCTTTCCCTGTGTCCTCCTCTTGGGCCTCTTCGGTGATGAGCTTTCAAAGACAGAGCATCGTTTCTCATGGCTCCTCATGTTTGTACCCTTTGTTTTCTTCTCCAGTCATAACAAGCAGTTCCCCTTCTAGTTCACAGACTCAGCCAAAGATGACTTAATTCTGAGTCATTCTGCAAGATGCACCCTGGTCCCTTCCATGTGGCCTGACCTCTTGAGTTCTCCCTGGTTCTCCTGTCAGCACTGAGCAGTGTACGGCTCATGGCTGAGTGTAATGGTCTAAACTGTCTCTGTCCGGACTAAGTGGATGTCTCTCCCTGCTTAAAAGCCTAATGCAGTCTTAAGATGGAGTTGTTTTCTTTTATTCGGCCAGTCACACAGCCACGTCTTTATTCCTACTGATCTCTTCTTCTGCTGTGTCTTCAAAGATTTTCTTTGTTAAACACACACCACACATGCGCGCACACGTGCACACATACACCAGTAAAACCCTGTCCCATTTTGCTTTGTTGGAAAATTTTAACAAATATTACAATGAATAGATCATTAGAATCGTACCTTCATTTTTCAGAAAGTTGAAAAGGAAGTATATGTTCCATCTAATTCTCCAAGTCTGATATATTCACAAACCAACACCAGACAAAGTCATTATCAAAAATAAAAACACACATTCCTCTTAGTCATGGACATAGATGGACATAGATGTACACATTACAAATAAACACACTGTAAACACCTTAGGGGAAAAAAACTGCACAGCATTTACTGAGGGCAGACTTGATCTCAGATTCTCACCGCTGACTCATATACATGTTCCTCTGTGTATTTTATGAGGGAGGAACTGTTGCCATCCCATTTTATAAGATGCATAATAACCCAGTTGGATTTATTCCAGGAATACAAAATAGTTTCCTGTTTGAATTACCCCACAGTAAAAACTGAGCGGGGAGGATATCATGCTATTAGTGTACGTGTCTTATAAGATTAAAAACAAATCAAACTAGGAAATTTTGAGAACTCCCTTAACTGGATTAGGGGGGTATGTTTATGTATCTGGTTGTGAATGAGTAGAAGCATGCCTTTAAGCTCAGGAAAGGGACAATGAGACTTGTGTATCATTTCTCTTTACCATGGCACTGAAAAG